CAAGACCCAACTGCATCGCCGCTGGAAATGACAACGGCATACTAGGAGACTGCGAAAACGAATAGCACAGCTCAACAAAGAAATAGAAAAGCACACACTTAACCTGCAACAACAGCCATGGGGACAGAAATGCGCGCAGATGGATGGTCAGCTCACTACAAGTCGCACATGGCAGATACTGCGGTACCTCATAGATCCCACGGACTCCAACACCTCACAGAGGCAAGGCATATGCAAAATTATACACGCTTACGGGAGAACGGAGCAAAATTTTCCTACGTGAAGCGGAACTCCATTACATATCCCAGACGCCCCCACAAGTACATCCGGACTACAGGGGAGAAGGCAATGCCATCCTAGACGCAGAACTCTCAATTTCCAAAATCGAGGTGGCCCTCGTCAAACTCAATACCAAATCAGCTCCAGGCCTAGATCGCATATCGAACAGGGCACTGTGCAACCTCGATTACAGATCGCTAGAGAAACTCACAGACTATAGTAACGAGTGTTGGGTGCGTAGAAAGTTACCCCAGCCATGGAAAGAAGCACAGATCCTACTTATACCGAAACTCGGCGAGAAATTGCAGCTGCAAAACCCGCGCCCTATCTCCCTAACATCATGAGTACGTAAACTGATGGAGCATGCGTTCCTCAATAGACTAACAGATTACCTCGAGGACAACAACCTATTACCACACACAATGATTGGGTTCAGAAGACATATCTCCACACAGGACGCTCTTCTGCAACTAATACATCAAATCATAGAAAATTCTGGGTGCTCTACGAGAGCCATCCTTGGCCTGGACCTGAAGAAGGCCTTCGATAACGTTCGTCACGACGCCATATTGCGACAAACAGACAGATTGAACCTGGGAATGCGAGTGTACAACTACGTCCGAGACTTCCTCACGGGAAGAACCGCACGCATGCGAGTGGGACAACTAGAATCAAGTCAAATCAACATTGGAAGCTCGGGTACACCGCAGGGATCAGCGATCTCGCCGATGCTCTTCAACCTCGTCCTGCTGGGATTACCCGAGCGATTACATCAAATTGATGTACTGCACCACACGCTATACGCGGATGATATTACGATCTGACGACAACTGGCAGTGACGGAGATATCAAGGATCGCTTACAGGCGGCCATAGAATGCGTGGAACATTACCTCGTAGGCACGGGACTCACCTGCTTGGCCGAAAAATTCGAATGACTGCTATATAGACTGATGAAAAAGGGACGCCCGCCCAAGGACTACGTACCTTCAGAAAAACAAGAAATCAAACTTACATCATCAAACGGCTCACCAATCCCAATGGTAAAGAAGATCCGGGTACTGAGGACGATGATTGAGCAGAACGGCGGCAATGGTGAAGCACTGCGCAAGATAATGGCAAAGGCCACTAGCACGATGCAACTCATCCGACGCATCACGAACAAACATGCGGACATGCGCAAAGACAGCGTCATACGACTCATACAAGCCTTTGTTATTTCACGACTAACGTACACGGCACCGTTTCACAAATGGACAGTTGCGGAAAAAGACAAGCCTAACGCCCTGATACGCAAGACGTATAAGTTCGCGTTGGGACTGGCGCCCAGAGTTAACACCAGCAAACTCCTCGAGCTAGGGTTGCCTAACACCCTCGAGGAACTCGTGGAGGCGCAACAAGTTTCCCTGCTCCAGCGCCTATCCAAGACCCGCCCAGGCCGACACCTACTCGAAAAACTCGGCATCACGTACCATACGCAGCACGGCATCAATGTCGAAATTCCAAGATCGGTACGCGAGCAAGTATACGTACCCCCATTGCCTCGCAACATGCACCCCCAACACCATACTGGACGGCGTAAAGCCAGGGCACAAGGCATTACTAAAAGCTACTCCAACGACACTGAAGCAGTTTTCACTGATGCCGCGCGTTATACCAATAAAAATAGTTTCGTGGCGGTAGTTACCTGCCATGGCGGCAAATACATCACAAGCCTCACTGTGAACACGGCACACGCTGAAGCGGCAGAGGAAGCGGCTATAGCACTGGACCTCACACAGACCAATGCCACATACGTGATTAGTGATTCGCAAACAGCAATTCGCAATTTTGCCAACGGAAGCATCCCGCAAGAGGCATTTCACATACTCCAACGACATCCCATACATCCAGGAGAGGTCGACTTCGATAACCAGAGACACCTGTTATAGATCCCGGCACACACCGTACTGAGCATCCCACAAGAAGCGGCTCACCGCGTTGCTCGAGGCCTCACTCAACGAGCATCGCCGGAGGACGAGGAGCCCCCGCGGGGAACCTCAGACATCTGGGCATGGGAGGATCGTATGACCAGGTTTCACGACATCACCACACATTACCAGTTACAAAGACGCATATACCCATACCCTCACGAAAGGCTAAACAGAACGCAAGCCGTACACTTCAGACAATTACAAACAGATTCATACAGAAACCCCAGACTCATGCACGCCATGTATCCAGACATATACACTACAAACAGATGCACGTCATGTGGCGAGGTTGCCACCCTTAGTCACATGCTGTGGGAGTGTCAGGGCCTAATAAACAATGCGAACCGTGTCGATTCGTCTCATTCTTTCACCGCCAGTCTCCGCTCGCGTTGGAAGGCCGCACTGCTCAGCTCGAACCTGACAGCACACACAACTGTGGGTCGTACAGCATGCTGAGGAAGCCGCTTCGAGACAAGGTCTCGGAACCGCATCCACGTTGGGTGCCCAGGCCCACTAAAAAATGCCGGACTTGAATCATTTGGATTCGACAAATAAAGTTTATGTTCTTGATGACGACCTGCCCAGAGATGCAACGCTCCGTAGGGTCGGAGAGTCGACAAACCCGGCCGTTGCGTACGTTTTTGCGGGTGGCGACTGTGAAATACGTCGCATCCCTTCCCGTTCCCTTCACAGGGTAAGACTTTAGCATAGTTTAAGGATAAATAAGGTGGTGACATTCATTTAATGGGTAATAAATATTTGACCACCACCAGCTCACTCATCGCTAGGAGAAAGTGTGGGCAGACTTTGAGGTACGAGTAGTTGCCGGTGCGCTTTTTTGTGTGATTCTTAAAGGGAAAACAAGAGAAAAGTGAGCCCCGTAGCTGTCTGCATCAGAGTGCGACACCTCAACAGTAGCTCAAAAGTAATGGGGGCTAGGAGGGATTAAAATGATAGGAATTAAAGGTATACAAAGAGAGAGAAAGGAGAGAGCGAGGCGCAGGGACAGCGAGCGACGGAAGTAAAGAGGAGATAGGAAAGATGGACATGGTGACAGGAGTCCGACCACTGGGCACATCTCAGCGAGAGCTCTTGTCGGCGTCAGGGGATGTTGTCGGGCGAGCCCAGTCGGCCAGAGTTTCGATGTCATCGGAGATCGCGTGGGCACAAGTGGTCCGCACGAAATCCAGTGAGCACGTCAGAGTCGGGCCGTCGCTCGAGTTGAGTTGACGCAACTGTATGAGGCGCCAGGTATTCATTCACGCTCGAAAGAACATCTGCCCAAAATTTTGTGCGCATAGACTTTTTGATTGGGGAATGCATTGACCTGTGTATGTGAGGTCTCCTAGTGCATTTGTTCTGCTGATTCGCGTTTTGTGCCTCAATGCAAGTATGCCCCGACACTGCGTATGTGCAATGAACCACAAAACGTGCGCTCAACAAATCCACTAGCAGGGGTCATAGGTAAAGGGCAACGCGTTTCTAAATCACAAAATGAGTGGCCTTGTTGCTGGCTTTGCGGCGAAGCGCGCAAAAGGTGTTTTGTCCCAAATTGCAAGTCGGGCATGACGATAGTTATAGCGCGAGAACAAAACGACGACACAGAGACAAAAAGGACACGAAAGACACGAGCGCTCTGTGTCGCTCTGTGTCTCTGTGTCGTCGTTTTGTTCTCGCGCTATAACTATCATCATGCCATACCAACTAGCCCAACCTCCACACTTCTAAGTTGCAAGTCGGAGTATCGCATCTGTAGGAGCATGTGTCGCTGTTCAAGGCGCTGCGTGAAATAGAACGCTTGCATATGTGGCGATGGGAAATTCCGAAAGCTGACGGAGCCTTGCATCCTACTGACCATATGCTCGCAAAGCATCTTCCGGAAAAGCGATCTAAGCCACATATGCAAAATGCAATTGAAACGTTGCACGCACTGAAGAAATCTACGTGCACTTCGAATGCTGAGCCTGCCATTTTACTGGGGCTGTCAAAAATACCTGATCATGCGGCAAAAACCCAGGAATTCCCACTAAAACGGCCGTCTGTTGCCCACTTCTTGGAAGTGACGGGGTCCAAAAGGTTCAGCTGCATCCCAAGTGCTGACACGACCGCTGAAAGAACGTCCCATTTATTGTGCGTAGACAGAGTTTTTCCACAGCATGGTGATGATGAATCAGCACGCACGCATGCGAAATGTCGCGCTTTAACTTCAGCAGCGACGAGACTACTCCACCGGCCGTCGGGAAGCGGGTTGTTTTCTGCATAGAGGTAACATACTGGTTTTCTGTCCTTTGCATCGTGTAGTCAAATAAGCCGCGTCAGCTTGTTGCTTCGAGGCATTGCGATGGAGCACCGTCCGAAGAAGAGGAAGAAAGGACACTACAAGACTTACTTAAATCCTAAATCGCAGTTTATGCTACTAAAGACCACTTCACGCGCTTGCTCGCACAGCGTAAGTCTGATTATTTTTCAACATGGATGGGTACTTTAGATCGCGGCTTTTGCTTGACTAGGGCCCTCTTGATCGTATTAGTCGTATTGGTATTGTATTATTGAATTAGTTAATCATATCAAGCGGCATAATGCTCAACAACTGAGATCGTTGCATAGTATTTTACAACCACCTTTTTACCACCCTTCAAACCCTGGCTGCGATCTAATGCAGTCCGTTCTGCAAAGTTGACGTTTATTATCATTGCATTTTTCGCCAAGTTAGCGCAGCAGTTTAAATATAAACCTCATTTTCTTCTAGGACACCAGCACAAGCGTGCCTCTTCCATGTGACGATGCTGACAGCGACATAAAAAGGGCAGATCGACCAAGTCAAACTTCGTCAGTAAACAGCTCGCAAAGTGATATTGACAACCCTGGATCTGAACGTTCGGAAAGGGATGAAGATTTTGCCTTCATCCAGTTTGTCTTGTATTAAAGTTCTTTTTTCCTTCTATATAATTTTAGCTTTTTCGTAATTTTTGTTTCGTAAACATTTTAAATAAATCGTTCTCGATTGAATACAGTATTTATTCGAGGTAATGGCAGATAATAATTGAAATACGTGACATCAAGGGTGCACTGGCACTGAACCATATGCCTTCCTTTGAGAGCAAGGCATCGTGGGTACATTGTAAGGCTGCATACAGCTGAAATTGCGGTTCAAGTGTGTACTTGTACTTCAATTGCTGCATTTTCACAATAAATATGTGGTTGGCGCATCCATATTTTAATCATAGCTTCAGCTTGTAAAAATTCTTGATTAGTAATGTTAACAAGCCTAATATAATGCAGTCTTGAACGAAAGATAATAAAGTGACCGTGTTCTAAGTTTTGGTATTGCGAGCTTAAACACTACTTTGAGTTTTGTTTGGTTAACACGCATAAAAAATTCAATAGAAGGTTTAAAAGGTGGCATCACTGTGGATTTCCACAATGACTAGCAATACCACTCGCATTTAGAATTGCTGATGAAACTTCATGTATCTCCTGTAATTAAGGAGTCAAGTGGACATACTTCATTGCAGCATTGGGTTCATTGTACTCCATTGGCCCCCATTATTTCAAACTGGAACCTCTCATCATGGCAATGGCAACAGATAAAATCAAATAGACACAGGTGTTTAGAATGTTTGGAGCCACCACATGGACAGTCCAACTGTACCGTCCCATTGCAGCAAGTACTTCCGATGGGGCACCATATACATCCCAGTTGAACGCCACAAGGCGCCTTTTGGTTCCCATTGCTCCCAAGTGGAACATGCAATTGGACTCGTTACCTTCTTTGACTAGGACATTTAGGGTATACCATGCTTACTCCAATGTTACGCGAGATCTTCAAGTTTTTGCTATCTAACGTCTCTGGCGTTGCAAATCAAATATCGAAATTCAACTTTTTATTCCTAGGCGCAATGAAAAGTGACCTCTTGGTAAATCAGGCTGATGATTTGATGGCGACTCAGAATATCGGTCATATCATGCATGGGCGTCAGCAGGCAGGTGTAAAAGTGGCCCTCTCCCACCTCATTACACACCAACATTTGCCCCTATCTAGGCTAGGCCCGCACTCTCCCCTTTCGGAGCCACGGCACAACACTTGTTTGCCCCCCCTCCCGCTTCCTGAGACAAAATCCTGCCGACGAACATGACAATACCGCTCACTGGACGCACTATACCACTGTGATTTTAGACGCTCCGTGCGGCTCAGCATTACAAAGAAACTGAAAAATATATGGCTAGGCCAGAACGAACTTTCCTTTGACCTCATAGTGGTATAGATTTGCACCACGCCAACACGGCTTTGCAAAATGTTACAGCTGTAGATGCTTTACCAGGTGCTTTCTGAGTTGCTCATTAAGCCGTCGTGCCACCAGCTATTATGTTGAAACCATAGAAGTTTCTTAAATATTATAAGGAGCCTTATGGCATCTTCGGCTCAGGAGGCCCTGGCACCATGATGGTGGAAGGAAAGCTACGTCAAATACAGCCCCAGTTTCACGTCCGTTACGGGCCAGATGAATGTGTGAACCACAAGACTCGAAATCACAACAGCCGCGCCGTCTGCCAAAGATGCCATTCAGCACACAAAAATTTTCAGCGTCCTGTTTGTACTGAAAAGAAAGAAGCAAACGATGAAAAAGCATACGATGACATAAACTTGCAAGATGCTAAGGGTCCCCTTGGTGCGGGGCATGTTCTCAAGGCTTTTCTGCTGCATCAGTTTGTGCCAAATGAACGAGGGTTACGATAATTTTCGCATCACTTTGAGTTTCTAGTGAAATCCTGGCAGTAAAAGTAGATTTGTGCGAGTTCGGTTGGACGATGTAAGCTGGCGCACGTTTACCGTCAAGTCCGGCCGTGTTCTGTGGCAGCACCAGCTGTATATTACACCTGAAATGATTCAAGTCACTGCCTCTTCTGCCAGCGCCCGCAGGCTATTACGATTTCTTCACGCTCCACTGTCAACTGCCATGGGTGCTTGAACTCACGTCGTGGCCGGCCCAGCCAAACATGTGGAACCGCGTGAGTGCTGACCAAACGAATGTACTGCACCGCACGAGTGCACAGATAAGGCTACCGGAGCCGTCAGCCAAAGATTAAAATATTTAAATTCATAATTGGCTGCCAAGATGATGAAAGTTGGTGTTTTTTGGCCAAGGGCGATTTGATGGCCAAAGAGCGCCAGTTAATGGTACAAGAGATGTGGACAATAATTGTGATTAGCGGCTGTATAAGGGCCTTAAAATTCCTCGTGCTTAGGCGGGTAGAAATATTGCAGCAATAAAATCATGACCATACCATGAAAAGTGTGTGGTGTTGCTACGTGACGAAATATTCTGATAATAGAAACCATGGTGGACATGTATGGCATTAGCACAAGTGCCTTGATAGTTCACACCCTTGCGTCTAAGGGCTTTGAGGCAAGTGCTTTGTTGAGTGTAGCCACCGAAGCGGAGACTTCTCTAAAGAGGTCGTGCTACGGAACGAGACAGAATTCACTTCGATGGGCGGCTAGGTCATGAGGTTTGTTGGCGACTTGCAGGACGCGCAGTAGCTTTTTGGGGGGGCAAGCGAGCCCTTCGGGGTGCAGGATAGCTAGTAACGAGGAAAACAACCAGGGAGACTCTTCGACAGGTGGTATGGACAGATACGATTCCAAAGTGGCACCAATATTTAAGATAGGTCGAGTCCGGGGCATAAATAGACGTAGCCACGAGCGCCGAGCCAATTCAGACATAGGGTATATTAACATGCAGGGTGGTAGGAACAGGCTGAAGTGGGAAGACATAGAAGAACAGCTAAGAGAAGAGAGGCCGATGGTATACGATTTTGTAGAAACACATCTCAGGGACATGGAACAACCTCCGAACAATCCGGACTACGCGTGGGAATATTGTAATAGAACAGAAGGCAGCAGAAAGGGGGGTGGTATTGGGGCATTCATTCATAAAAGTACAGACTGGCAAAGGGTCAAGCAGGAGTGCAAGGAACATTTATGGCTAAAAGGGAAAGTGGCAGGTCAAATGACACTCCTTGGTTTCGTGTACTTGTGGATGGGAGCAAAGGCCAGAGAGGAAAACCAGGCAATGGTAGAGTGTATATCAAAGGACATTCAGGAGTTAGGAAGAGAGTGCGAGATAATTATACTAGGAGACATGAATGCGCACATAGAAGATATAGACGGGTATACCGACCCGACAGGCAAAATGGTCATGGATATGTGTGAAAGGCTTGATTTGATCATTTGCAACACTACCGAGAAGTGTGAAGGGCAAATAAAATGGGAGGTAGGAAGGCTGCAGTCGACGATAGATTATGCACTGAAGTCACATAGGATTTATGGTAAGCTCAGGGGAATGCACATAGATGAAGGTGGCTCCAGAAGTCTGGGTAGTGATCACAAATGTATCAAGCTAAGTTTTGGAAGAGCAGTGAAAGTGGGAAGGAGACAAGATAAGCAACTACAAGAAAATTTTTATTCAGAAAGGCAAATTCAAATAGCCACTAAACAAATTCAGACAGTAATATCTGAGGATAATAAAACCGTGTGGACATACACGAATTTAATTAGACTGTTTGAGCTAGAGCTTGCTAAGGCACGTGACAAGTCACCCCAGAAAAAAAGACACAAACACAAAAGTTGGTGTGATGAGGAAGTTAAGAGAGCCATAGCAACGCGTCAGGAAGCCTCTAGGGAACACCGACATGCTAAGCAGCGGGGTGAACCGACAGACGATGTTGAAAGAAAATGGGAAATCTTTCTGAGCTGTAGAAGGGATGCATTCCTTCTGATCAATGAAAAAATTAGAAGAAAGGGAGCTTAGTGGCTAGCAGAAGTACATAAAAAAGAAAGGCAGCTGCGAAATTTCGGAACCATCTAAACTCCCTAATAAATGAGACAAGCTTAGTGCAGAGGTTTATAGCTACAGCTCAAGGTGCTAAGCTAGAAGGGGACGAAGCTATTGATATATAAGAACAAGGGTGACAGAAAAATTTCAACAAAGAAGTGCTTTATGCACCACAATAGCCAAGGACATTGCCGCCATCACCTGCCCATCATTGTTTCAGCAGCATATAACAAATCAATATGAAATGTCTATGTGAGAAGTTGTAACCCGCCCCTTTTGTAATGCTTCTTTCGGGAAGCCCTTAAGGTTAATAAACTGAACTGAACTGAACTGGAATAATCAAGTGGCGCAATGGCTCCATTTTCACAACGAGAGTGAGAAAGGGCTGAGAAAAGGGTTCCTAGTAGTACATCAACAGCCCAAATGGCATTCCAATTATGCTGATAAAGACATTAGGTCCGAAGTTTAAGCAGGCTTTGAGAGAGGCAGTGACCACAATAATAATCGATGGTGAAGCTCCCGATGGATGGAAACTTAGCAGGATGAGCATGATCTATAAAGGAAAGGGGGACAAAGCTGACATAAACAACTACCGTCCTATAACAGTGACATCAGTGGTCTACATGCTGGCGATGCAGATTATAAAGGAAAGACTGCAGGCATGGATAGAGGATGAGCGGGTGCTTGGGGAACTGCAGAATGGGTTTCGAAAACACAAGAGGTTGGAAGACAATCTGTTCTCTCTGACGCAGTGCATCGAAATAGCAGAAAAGGAACACAGGCCCCTGTGGCTAACATTTTTGGATATCAAGGGAGCGTACGATAGCGTCGTTCAAGAGGAATTGTGGGGAATACTGGACACACTAGGCGTGGAACATGTAGTCACTAATCTTTTAAAGGGTATCTATAAAGGTAACAAGGTAGTTATAAAGTGGAAAAAACAGGTATCCAAGCCTGCAGAGTTAAAACGGGGGCTTAGGCAGGGGTGGCCCCTTTCACCCTTATTATTCATGATGTACCTACAAGGATTAGAGGCCAAATTAGAGGGAAGTAGACTTGGCTTCAACCTCTCTTTAGTCAAACAAAGAAAACTTATTGATCAGGCACTACCAG